AGGAGCCGACCTGGCTGCCCCTTCCTGAAGATGGCCCTTGGCTGGCCTGAGACTCTCCAAGAACCCAGCGCTCAGCAGAGGTGCTCCGTGCAGCCAGGCCCAGGCAAGCAGGTGGCTGAGTTCTACACGGCAGTCACGGCCACTCGTGCTGCTGAGTCCAGAGGCCCTGCTGGCCACGGGGGCAGAGCTGGCCTCATCCTGTGAGGACACAGATCCCAGGGGCCTCTGCCTCCAGGGACTGGAAGGTGGAGAGGAGGGGGACCTGATGGTGGTGAGGCCCAGTGGGGGTGGGGCTCCCCTGGGAGAGGGTAAAGCACCGGTGTGTGTGGAGGATGGGCCTAGGGAGGTCTAACCGGACGGCAGAAGTGCACCGCAAGCCTGAGCCGTGGTGTCCACTGTGCTCAACACGGAACCGGCCCGGCCCTGGGAGGCAGGTGATACTGATGGTCTCCACAGGTAAAACGCCCGAGACTCGCATACACTGTTCTGTGACTGGTTTTGACCCTCTGGCCTTCGGTACACGGCGAAAGGCAGAACGCCAGCCCATTCTCCCAGGAAAAGGCTGCTAGTTACTGCGAAGCAGCAAACCAGTGTCTCCACAGATGACCTGGCCCCCAGGTCCTTAGTGCAGAGGCAGAGGAATCCTGTGGGTCGCGGGGAGGGAGCTGGCGCGAACGGGAAAGAGAATCGGGGCTCAGGGAGGTTAAGCCACCCGACCAAGGCCAGGGAGCCGGGCGCGGGCCGGACTCGGCCAGCGCTGCCCCGGAAAGGACACTCGCTCCGCGTGCGTAACTACACGTCCAGTCGCCACGGGAGCGAGGAGGACGCCCGGGAGGTTAACTGAACCCCCAAGTAGGGTCCTTCCAACACATAACTCATAAGATACGTTACTTTTCCTTCTTTGAGCCAAACCTTGCAAACCCGGAGGATATTTTATTCTCTACACTCAGAGCGCTTCTCAACTCGGCCCCGCCACCCGGGTGCTCTCTGGCCGCGCGGGTGGCTCCTGTGGGGACAGCGACTCCG